TGTGATTAAGTATGGTGTCTCCGTTAGCACTGGAGTCCCGGGTGCCCGGGCGGGGGGCGGCCAGGCTACGTTCGGGGTAGGGGTTCCCGAAAAGGGTCCACCCGGGGCCGGGTCGTGGGGCGGGGTGGAGGATCGCAGCCCCGGCGAGGGTCGGATCCACTCCGGGACTGGTCGTGAGGCGGGGTGGAGGATTGGAGGCCCGGCGGCAAGGGTTCGGGTCCACCCGGGGCCGGGTCGTGGGGAGGGAGCGGCGGCTGCACGTCCCGGCGAGGGTCGGATCCACTCCGGGACTGGTCGTGGTGGGGCGACTGCAGTCCCGGAGAGGGTTCGGATCCACCCCAGAACTGGGATGTGGGGAGAGGGGGTGGACTGCAGTCCCGGAGATGGTTCGGATCTACTCTAGTACTGGGTTGTGGGGAGAGGGGGTGGACTGCAGGCCCGGGGAGGGTTCGGATCCACCCTGGGACCGGGATAGGTGTGGGGGGAAGAGGAACGGACTGCAGTGCCTATGGCACCTCCAGCTCGCGTTTGGGAGTTGTCTCCTTTGGGACATGGAAGAGTAACCGACTATGAGATATCCATGTTGACAGACATGACCTTGAGCCGACAGACAGGGACCCTCCACTTAAAAGCTCTACACTTTCTGACCTCTAATCCTTTCTCCAGTACTAAGGCCAACAACCCCTATTCCCTGATGCACTCATTTTAGGAAACTCGCTACCTTAGAGCTTTGCCTATAAAACAAGCTAGAAAGCGTCAAAAAATAAAGCTGGGGTGGGGGGAGTCAGATGTTAAAACTAAAATTTTTTTCACATCTCAGCCATTTACTTACAGAAGTTTAGGGCAAAGGGGACTTTAAAGGGAACTGTTTTGGGAGACTTAAAGAAATCATAATTGTTATTTTGGTATCTTGGTAAGTTTCTATTAGCTAATCATTTTTATTACAGCACTTACAGTTTCCCTGTATTATAGGTCTGCTAGGTTGTACTTACCTACTGGTTAACGATTTGTTATTCAAAAGAAAAGCCAGATGCTGGTGGCTCAGGGCTATAATCCTAGCTACTCAAGAGTCTGGGATCTGAAGGACTTCCCTTGAAGCCAGACCTGGCAGGAGAATCCATGAGACTCTTACCTCCAATTAGTCACCAAAAAGCCAGAAGCTCAAGTGGTAAAGTGATATTTAAAAAAGCTCTAGGAGGAGCTGGGAAGGTGGCTCAGTGGTAGAGCGCTTGCCTTGCATGTATGAGGACCTGGGTTCGATTCCTCAGTACCACATAAGCAAAAAGAAAAAAGGCCGGAAGTGGCGCTGTGGCTCAAGTGGTAGAGTGCTAGCCTTGAGCTGAAGAGCTGAGGGACAGTGCCCAGACCCAGAGTTCAGGCCCCACAACCAGCCCCCCCCCCAAAAAAAAAAAAGCTCAAGGAAAGCACATAAGCATTGAGTTCAAGCCCCAATAGCTCAAGTAGTAGAATGTTATTCTTTAGCAAAAAGCTCAAGGACAGGACTCAGGCACTGAGTTCAAGCCTCAGAACTGGCACACACATGTACACAAAAACCATGTCAGCTGCAATATGAATGAACTCCCATGATTTCTTGGTGAAATTTAGGTGTGAAAAAGATTTTTTTCTGCACTAGTCTCTTAAGGTCTGAGCATACACATCATTAAAATTATAAATCTTACAACTCCTTTCATATCAGAGCTGGGGTAAAACCCTCAGTATCCCCAGTGTTCATGCATCAATGCTGTGAAGCCAGTAGTATAAAAGCACAAAGAGTCGGGTGCTGGTGGCTCACAGCTCACGCCTGTAGTCCTAGCTACTCAGGAGGTTGAGATCTGAGGATTGTGGTTCAAAGCCAGCCAGGGCAGGAAAGTCCAAGAGACTCATCTCCAATTAACTACCAGAAAACAGACAGTGGGGCTGTGGCTCAAGTGGTAGAGCACTTGCCTTGAGCTGAAGAGCTATGGGACAATGCCCAGGCCAGAGTTCAAGCCCTATGACCCACAAAAAAAGTTAAAAATTAATGAATAAATTTTGGCTTCAGAATTGGTACCTTGCATAAGAGTTTTACAAAGAAATAGAGAACATCAATTTCTTCATAACCTTTTTTTCCAATATTCAGAAATTTCTGGAAATTCTCCTTGTATGAGAATATTCACCTGAAACATTTTTCCCTCCAGGGGCCTCTGCTGGCCTTTTGGCAAATGTTTTTTTTTTTTTTTGGTTGGTCGTGGGTTTTAACTCTGGGCACTGTACCTGAGCTCTTCAGCTCAAGTCTAGTGCTCTACCACTTGAGCTACAGAACCACTGTCTGTTTTCTGGTAGTTAATTGGATATAAGAGTCTCTTGGACTTTCCTGCCTAAGGCTGGCTTTGAACCAAGATCCTCAGATCTCACCCTCCTCAGTAGCTAGGATTACAGGCCTGAACCACCATGACCTGCTTAATGTATTTATTTTCTGGGAAGACAAAACACTTAAGGAAAAGAACTAGATGCATTGGAGAATAAATAATAGGCCAGATATGGCACATGCCTATGAAGCAGGAGAATGGAGCTATGTAGCAAGTTCCAGCTCACACAAAACCCTCTTTCAAAAACAACAAAAGAGCTAATATCTAGCCTAATAAATATGGAGAAATATAAGTGGCAAAAGAGATGTGATATAGGTGTGTAAGCCCAGCTAGCAGGGCTGTAGACACACGATTGTGGTTTGAGGCCAGCCTAAGCAAAAAGTTAGCAAAATCTAGTCTCAGCCAACAGCGCCAAACATGGTAATAGCATATACCTGAAATCCCTTCTACCTGGGAGGGTTATATAAGGAGAGAGTGATCTGAAGCTGGCTTGAAGGAAAATTGAGATGCATTGGTGGCTTATACATGTATCCTAGCTACTCAGGAAGCTGAGGTGTGAGGATCACTGTTTAAAGCCAGTTGGTATAGAAAAGCCGATGAGACTTTTTCCAGTAAACCCACTTAAAAAAGCTGAAAGTGGAGCTGTAGCTAAAGGGATAGGTAGAGCACCAACCTTCAGTGAAAAAGCTAAGGGACAGTGTCCAGGCCCTGGTTCAAGCCCAAGTACTGACATATAAAACAAGAAACATCCAAAAAATAAAGCAAAAGAGAGGTGGGCATGGTTGAGGTGGTAGAGCACCTGCCTAGCAAATTCAGGGCTGTGAATTTCAATTCAGTACTACCCAAACTAAATCCTTTGGCTTGTGTAAAAATAAAAGAGCCTATAACATATTAAACACAAACACACGTGCACGCACACACGCGTGCACACACACAAAATACCTTGTAGCCCCAGTATAGAATTAGATTGTAGAGCCAATCACAGGTGGCTCACGCCTGTAATCCTAGCTACTCAGGAGGTTGAGATCTGAGAATCTCGGTTCAAAGCCAGCCCAGGCAGGAAAGCCTGTGAGACTCTTCAATAAAGCACCAGAAAACTGGAAGTGGTGCTGTGGCTCAAGCAGTAGAGCACTAGCCGTCAGCTGAAGAGCTGAGGGACAGCACCCATGCCCAGAGTTCAAGCCCCACGATCGACCAAAAAAAAAAGAATTAGATTGTATATAGTAAGGTTATATGTAGTAAAACTTTAACTTACCAAAAGAGAAAGGGCTGGGAGTAGTAGAGTGCTTATGCTCAAGGTCCTGAGTTTGCTTCTTAAGCAAGAAGGAAAAACAACCTGATATATTAAATTTGGCAACTAAAAGGAAGTTGCTTTTTTATGAGTTTGAATTCCATCAAAAAGACTATTAGAAGTTGAAGAGACTTCAGTTGTCATATTAAATGTCCTCATTTTTCAGGTAAGAAATCAGGCCTGCCTGGAGACTCAAGCAAAGGCTGGACAACTTCATTTCCAGAACAGAAAGGAAACTCATGCATCAGAAAAGGTTTGAGCCTGATGACTGATAAGATCTCTTTTTACTCCAAAGTTCCCTGGTTCTATGATAAATTATTTGGCACACATACACATACCAAATTTCTACAATCATTCCAAGATCTACCCAGGCTATCCCTTGTCTATCTCTGGATTTCAGGGTTGTAAATGGAAGATAACCCTGGTAGTATGTTTACTCTACAATAACAAACATGGGTTCTAGTGATGGAAAATAGAATCAAGAGTGTAGGCCACATTTTATTATTTTGTCTCACCGTGAGGTTTTTTATGTGGCTGTACAACTTTTGGTTATGTGTACCATAATCTTGATAATGGCAACTGCTGAGAATAACTGAAGATTTGGGCAGACTTAAAATTGCTGCTGGCTATTGAGTTCAACTGTAGGTCTAGGAAATATTTGAGATTATTTAATCAAGTGATTCTAAAGAAAATAAATCTCAATGTTAATAAAGTGGTCTTTGAGTAAGAAAGAATTATGTATTTCCAGTTCCTTAAAAATAAGTTAATGTTGCTTCTGTATTATGGTAAACATTTTGCTTAAAGAAAAGATTGTTTAATGAAACTACATTAAAAGACGATACCATCTAGGACTAGTATATGTAAGGTCCACTTCTGGATGGCAAGCAGACTCCACCCCCTCACAGCAAAGTCTCCACCCAGTACCTGCGTTACCTAGGCAACTGGCACACCTGGAAGAGGTCACATCTGAATTTGAGGTGGCCACACCTTTCTCTGCCCATACCCTAGATAAGGCCTAGCCCAGGCCCAGACACTCTCTTGCCCAGACACTCTCTTGCCCAGACACTCTCTTGCCCAGACACTCTCTTGCCCAGACACTCTCTTTCCCAGGCCTTTCCCAGCCACGTGGAGTGCCAGCCTGGCCTGGTCCCAGCAGGTCTACTGAATAAACCTACCCCTTACCTGAATACCACGTGCGGGGTGCTGTTCTTACTCAGCTACCTCTTTTTAAAAACTTAACAGTATAATCCTAGATACTCAGAAGGCTGAGATCTGAGGATCATGGTTCCAAGCTAGCCAAGGCAGAAAAATCCTTGAGGCTTGTATCTCCTAATTGGCCTTCAAAAACTGTAAATGGAGTGTGGTTTTAGTATGGTGGAGGGCCAACCTTGAGCAGTAAAGCTTAGGCCCCAGGGCATACACACAAAGAAAGCAAACAAAAACTTCTAGCATTCTTCACCTTGCTATTCCCACAGCCTTCTTGGATTCAAGTTTCTTCTTAGTGTCCAGCTTCTCAGACTTTCCACCCTCCATCCTCCTTTGCTTCACCAACCCCAGAGAAAGAAATAGAGTGTCTGGGGAAGCCTCTAGGCATGTTCAACTGTTGTCCGTGTCAAATTAGAGTCCACAAGTCTCGGATGGCAAAGGATTGGGGTGTCCTGAAATCAAGTCTTGGAGAGATGGCAGCCATTCTTTCACAAAGTGTGGAGTTTTTAATATTGATGAAAGTCTAATTCATAAAATTTTCCACTTATAGCTTATGCCTTTGGGGTCAAGTCTAAGAACTCTTTCCCTAGTAATAAAGCCTAAAGATTTTCTGGTATCTTTTTAAGTCCCTAAAACATTTTCATTTAATTTTTATATAAGGTAATAGATTGAATTCAAGGTTATAGTTTGTTGTTATGGTTATTTTCATTTGTTGAAAGGTTATCCTTCATTTAATTGTTTTTGCCCTTTACCAAAACTCAGCTCAGTATATTTACATATTTCTTTTCTTTTTTTTTTTTGGGCGGGTCCGGTTGTGGGGCTTGAACTCTGGGCCTGGGCGCTGTCCCTCAGCTCTTCAGCTCAAGGCTAGCACTCTACCATTTGAGCCACAGCACCACTTCCGGCTTTTTTCTTTTTGCTTATGGTGCTGAGGAATCGAACCCAGGGCCTCAGGCATGCAAGGCAAGCACTCTACCACTGAGCCACCTTCCCAGCCCCTACATATTTCTTTTTCTGGATTCTCTATTGATCTATTTCCCTCTTCACTGAAACCACAAACACTTGATTATTATCACTATATAAAAACCTTGAAATCAAATAGATTTTAACTTTTATATCGAAAGCAAAAAAGACTAAAACAGAGTAAAACCTTCCTGTTTTAGTCTTTCTGCTTTTGATATAAAAGTTTCAAAAACTTGTTCCTAAATTTTCAAGATTTTTGTTTTCTTCTGGTTCTAAGACTTAAACTCTGGGCCTGGGCACTGTCCTTTAGCTGTTTTATTCAAGGCTGGCACTCAACTACTACTTGAGCCACTTCTGCTTTTTGTAGATGAGACTCTTACATACTTTTAAGCCTGGGCTGGCTCCAAACTAGAGTCCTCAGATCCCAGCCTCCTGGTAGCTAGGATTAGTCATGAGCCACCAGTGGCTGGCTATAAGAGATTTTGCTGAGAACTTGAGAAGAATAATGCTAAGCCTATGTATATATCAGTTTTGGGAAAATTGACATTCTTAACATTTAAGGCTTCTAATTTGTGAACATAATATATTCTTTTTTTATTTATTTGCGTTTATTTTACGCTAAATTTATTCCTGTGCCATAAGTTTTTGTTTCTTCAGTTTCTTCTTTTTCTTTTGTGCATCCTCCCCCTCTGGTTTAGGAACAATTTGCTCCTTTTCAGTAAGGATCATCTCAGTGTGGCAGGGGGAGCTCATGTATGGGTTAATCCTACCAGGGGCTCTGTAAGTTCGGCAATGCATCTTAGGTGCTTTGTTCACCTGGATGTGTTCAATGACCAGGGAGTCTACATCTAAACCCTTCAGTTCAGCATGACTCTCTGCATTCTTAAGCATGTGCAGCAGAAATTCAGCACTCTTTTTGGGCCACCGACCCTCTGTGCAGCCCCACTGTTTGGCCTGGGCACACCTGCCAACTTCACCATTGTAATGCCAGAATGGCACACATTGCTTCTTTAATGTGACATCTTTCAGATACTTAGTCGCTTTTCGGATATGCATACCCTTGATGGCCTGGGCTGTTTCTCTAGTGTTCTTAAAGTCTACACGAAGATTGGAACCTCTTGACTTGCATGATTTTGTGGGGTTTTCTGGGTCTACAAAGTAGCGAACCATTTTCACAGTTCACCTCTGGCCACTTACAGGAAGATAATATATTCATTTTGGGGGGTAGTTTACAACTTCCATTAGCGGTTTGTAGTTAACATGTAAGTACTGTACATGTTTTATTAGACTTATCCCTACTTTGTTTTTCAGGGATTAATTATTTGTTAATTTTTAAAATTGTTTTAAGTAGTTTTACATCTGTTCAATTCAGTTTGTAAGTGTAGTGTATCTTATCAGTGTCACCCCTTCCATCATTCCCTCACATCTTTCCCAACTCCACCTATATCCTTAAGGTATGGTGTTCCATTTTTACATATGGATATTGAATACAGTGACTGTATTCTCCCACCTTTCTTCTCTCCACTTGTCTGTCCCCCTACCAAAAGTTTCAACTTCCTGGTAGTATTGTATTTTTAATTTCAGTGAGCACATATCCATTGTTAGTAGGTAGAAATACAATTGATTTTTATATATCTTATATCCTGAGACATTTGAACTCATTGTAGTTGAGTTTTTTTTTAAGTTTTCTGTATTCACAATCAGGTCATAAAACAAATACTGGCAATTTTATGTTCTCCCTTCACTATCTTTATGCCTTTTCATTTCTCTTTTTTTTTTTTTACTACACTGAATAGAACTTAACATGTATGATGTCTAAGTGTGGTGAAAGTTGATGTCTTTCCTTGCTTACAATCTTAAGGCAAGTATGGTATATACTATAGGGTTTTGTTTTGCTTTTTAACAAAAAAGTCTTCCTTTTCCTATTTTTCTGAGAGTTTTTTCCATGAATGGATATTAGGTTGTTACCAGATTTTTTTCCCCCCTGTAATTCCATTATTTGTTGGTTGAGATAGGAGGATTGCAAGTTTGAGTCAAGTTTGGACTACCATAGTGTGAGGCCTGGTTTCAGAAAATGGAAAACAAACAACAGCAACAAAAAAAAAATACTTTTGGGGGGCTGGGCTCAATGGTAGAGTGCTTGCCTTGCACGCATGAGGCCCCGGGTTCGATTCCTCAACACAACATAAGCAGAAAAAGCCAGCAGTGAAGCTGTGGTTTAAATGGTAGAGCACTAACCTTGTGCTGAAGAGCTGAGGGACAGCGCCCAGGCCCATAGTTTAGGCCCCACGACCTCACCCCCCACCCAAAAAAAATCCTTTTTTTCCCCCCACATCATTTTATCTGATCATGTGAATTTTCTTCTTTATTGTATTAATATGTAGGCTACACTGGTTAATTTCCAAATATTCAGTTAGTCTTTCATTTCTTCAAATAAAGCCTACTTGTTCAGAGGGTGTAATCCTTTTTTTTTTGTATATTGCTGAATACTTTAAGCATTTTATGTCAATTTCATAAAAGGTTTTTTTTTCTTGTAGACTCTTTGTGCTGTCTTTTTGTCTGGATTTTATACCAAGATAATACTTAACTATAGACTTTTACTTAACTGTTAAGTTTTTACATGTAGACTTATTTGTGATACTGTCTTTTGAATATCTGAAGAGTCTGTAGTGATTTTATACTTCCATTCCTGCTGATAGTATTCACTGAACTGAATGAAATGCTAAATTTAACACACTGAAATCTGTATAAAAGCTAAGCCAGCTGGGCCCCCCTGCACACACCTCCAATCAGAACTACTCAGGAGGCTAGATCTCAGGATCTCAGTTTGAAGCCAACCCAGACAGAGAAGTCCCCTTGAATCTCTTATCTCCAGTTAACCACCAGAAAACTGGAAGTGAAGCTGAAGTTCAAAGTGGTAGAATACCAGCCTTGAGCAGAATAGCTCAGGGATGGTGCCTAAGCCCTGAGTTGAAACCCCATAATGGATCCCAAAAAAAGCTGGGTCAATATCATAGAAATATATTTAGTACCCAATGCATACATTAGAAAGAATTATCTCTTACTGTTTAGTTGTCTATTATCTGGAGATTTTCTTGTTATCTGCAGTTTCTCTTTACATTCTTTGTGATCAGAGATAACATGCCCAGAATGATTTAGCGTTTATCCAGGCTAGTTTTATGGTCTAGGATAATGATTTATTTGGTATGAATTCCATGGCCACTTGATAAAAAGTGTAGACTCTGTGGAATTAGGTGCAAAGTTCTAAAAATAATGGATTTTTATCAGTAGTGGGGCCTGACCTCTGGGCCTGGGCACTGTCCCTCAGCTCTTCAGCTCAAGGCTAGCACGCTACCACTTGAGCCACAGCACCACTTCCGGCTTTTTTTTCCTTCTGCTTATGTGGTGCTGAGGAATTGAACCCAGGGCTTCATGCATGCAAGGCAAGCGCTCTACCACTGAGCCACCTTCCCAGCCCAAATTGATTTTTTTTTTAAATGGTGGATTTTTCCGTATCTGGACTAATTTTCTGTTTCATTGTTCTATCAGTTGTTAAGAGAGCAGTATTGAAATTTTCACCTATAATTGCAGATCTTTGTTTCTCTTTCCAGTTCTAAATAGAAGTCTTCATTCTACATATTTTACAGTTTTGTTTTTGGTGCATACACTTCTTGATCCGTTTACCAGTTTGTGTCTAGTAATTTGCATTGAAGTCTACTTTCTCTGATATACCCACTACCCACTGTTTCTTCTTTCTTCTGTTTAGTGTTTGCATAATATATGTCTCATTTTTTTAGTGATGGTGTTGGTGGTGGTACTAGGTTTTGAATTCAAGGTTTTGCACTTTCCAGATAGGAACTATACAACTTGAGTCATTGTTTCTTTTATATGTGTTATGCTTGAGTAATGTTTCTTTAATCCATTCTGTCTCTTGATTGGTGTACTTTGGGCTTAACCTATTAGGGTTTACATAACCTAGGGCTTAAGCTTGTTATTTTACTTTTTGCTTGTTGACTATCTCAGCCAGGAGCCAGTGGCTTAGGCCTGTGATCCTAGCTGCTTAATAAGGTAAGAACTGAAGATCACAGTTCAACTTAAGACAGACAAATTCAAGGGACTCGTCTCCAGTTATCCAGGAAAAAGCTGGTAATAGAGGCGTTAGAAGTAGAGGTAATAGAGGAATTAGAGATGCAAGTGGTAGAATGCTAGCTTTGAATGAAAAACCTAAGTCAGTGTTTGTTGTTATGAACTAGTAACACCACCAGAAAAAAAAGTATGTGTGTGGGGGGAGACTATCTCCTTATGTATCTCTTAGAGACAGAGAGGGGGACAAGCATGATTATCACAATCTAAAGGTGCCAACAGATTAGTTTGAGTGAAATGTAGACACTTTACATCCATTTACCCCAATTGTCAACATACATTTAGAATAACATTAGGTGAGCATATAAATTTTTCCAACAGCTAACATAATTTAGGAAATTCAAAAAGTTGTGTGTGAATTTTTTTTTCCCTCTTGGATGTCCTAAATTCTTAGTTTCTGTTTAAAAACTTAAATAACCCATTTTGTGTAGGTCTGTGAACAACAGATTCTCTTAGTTTTTCTTCCTTTGCAAATATCTTGAATTTCCCTTCAGGAATGAAGGATATTTTTCCTAGATACAATTTCTGAGTTAACAATTCTGTTCTTTTAGTGCTTGAACATTTTGTGCTACTTTGTTCTGGACTCCATAATTGCTGAGAAGGGCTGGGAAGGTGGCTCAGTGGTAGAGCCTTACCTTGCATGTATGAGGCCCTGGGTTCGATTCCTCAGCACCACATAAGCAAAAAGAAAAAAGCCAGAAGTAGTGCTATAGCTCAAGTGGTAGAGTGCTAGCCTTGAGCTGAAGAGCTGAAGGACAGCGCCCAGGCCCAGAGTTCAGGCCCACAACCGGACCCTCACAAAAAAAAAAACAAAAACATAATTGCTGAGAAATCTCCTTAATCCTAAATATTGTGCCCATGTAGTGAGATATTATTATTCATAGACTGTTTCATAGCTAGCATTATCTGTTAATTAATTAGAATCATAAGATTCTATGATTCTAGCATCATAAGAGTTCAAATTATGATTTTGAAGTATCCAGTTACTATGAAACCAAATTATACTTTGTATTATTACTTCAAAGAAACAATAAACTATAACATTAAGAATGAGACAAGCACAGCAAATTAAAGAATTGATGCTATCCCTTGCATATAGTTCTTTGAAAATGTCAGTAGTTCCCACCAGTATATGCACAGACTAAGGAAGAAAAGACAAGAGAAGCCAGGCACCAGTGGCTCATACCAGCAAACCTAATTACTCAGGAGGCTGCAATCTGAGGATCATGGTTTAAAGCCAGCGTGGGCAGAAAAGTTCACTTGAGACTCTTTTATCTTCAATTAATCACCAGAAAACTGGAAGTGGCACACTGTGGCTCAGAGTGGTAGAGCACTAGCCTTGAGCAAAAATGCTCAGGGACAGCACCCAAGTCCAAGTCCCATGACCATCCCCCCCCAAAAAAGACAAGGGGGACTGGGAAGGTGGCTCGGTGGTAAAGTGCTTGCCTTGCATGCACAGGGCCCTGGGTTCAATTCCTCAGCACCACATAAGCAGAAAAAAAAAAAAGACAAGGGAAAAGTAAATGCACAGGAGAACTGTATGCATGGCTGTGAATAGAATAGTTACTTTTGGTTAAATGTTTTATTCAGAATGGTATTTTTTGTGATAGTGTCCTACATGTTGTCCTAAGCCTGAATTTTCAATTTCCAACTCCATATAAGTTTCACAAAAAGTTTATACTTTGCAATTTGTACTTTGATTTCTCAGTACCACATAAACATTTTAAGTAATTGACAAGCTAGTAGGAAAGATATACAAATCCGTTTATTTTTATGTATTTCTTATTAGATTCAAAACTATAATGCATAGTTTTCGTTAATTTATAGTATATATGGTTAGTGTTAGGTCTTCCTCCTAGATGCTAGTTTGATTTTTAATAGCTTTAGTTTGCACAAACCTTTTAAGTGGGATGCTCAACCTTTCTAGAACTAACCAGCATAAATAAGTAAACCAGATAATACACATTCTTACATCTAGAACTAAAGTCCTACATTCATAGTATGTATACACCTTGGAAATACAGAAAGGTTTTCTGACTTCTTTGTCTTCTCCATTGCCAAGTTAGATCATAAGTACAAAATGTTCAGAAGTTCCTAATAAGTCTCTGTGATAACTGTTTTTGAAATGCAAAATACATAAATTCTCTTTGTTTTGAACCCTGAATATTTTTATGAGCTGATGTTGATTTAAAACTGAATGATAAACCAGGCACCAGCAATTCATGTTGTAATCCTACCTATTCAGGAGGCTGAGAGCTGGAGATCACAATTCAAAGCCAGCCTAGAAGTTGGAAGTAGACCTGAGGCTCAAGTGGTAGAGCATTACCCTTGAGCAATAAAACAACTCAGGAATACCACCCAGATCCTGAGTTCAAATCCCAGGATTAGGGCACTCACACATGCACACACATACACACACACTAAGACAGGGACCATTCACAAAATCTAAACCGTTGTTATTAAAAATCTGAGACTAGCCAGGCACCAGTGGCTCGTGCCTGTAATTCTAGCTACTCAGGAGGCTGAGATCTGAGCCAGCTGGGCAGGAAAGTCTGTGAAACTCTTATCTCTAATAAACCAACAGAAAACCGGAAGTGGTGCTGTGTGTGGCTCAAGTGATAGAGAGCTAGCCTTGAGCAGAAAAGCTCAGGTACAGTGCCCCGACCCCAGGTTCAAGCCCCATGACCGACAAAAAAACAAAACATACAAGAAAAAAAGCCCAAGGCCCTCCACTTGGGGCTGGTGGTAGAGTGCTTGCCTAGTGTGCTTGATGCCCTGGGTTTGATTCCTCAGTACCACATAAACAGAAATGGCACTGTGGCTCAAGTGGTAGAGTTCTAGCCTTGAGCAAAAGAACCTCAAGGACAGTGCCTAGGCTCTTGAGTTCAAAAAGAAAAGAAATGGTATATAATTATATCTATAGTTAGACATTTATAAAATATGTTAATAATGAGGTAACTCTTTAGCCTAAAATATTTAATAGATTGACAAATTTCTTTCTTTTAACTTTTAAATTAGGTGACTAATAAACATATCAAAAGAATATGGCCGCACAAATACCAGAATCTGATCAGATAAAACAGGTAAGGTACTACAATTAAGGGGATCTTGCAAAAATAAAAAATAGAATCTACTATTGAAAATGTGAATCAGTTGTTATTTATAGATAATTTTCAAAAATCATTATTAGCTGAATATGGTACTTAACACCTCTAATCCCAAGCACTCAAAAGCCTGAGATAGTAGGATCATAAATTCAAAGCCAAGCCTGGGTTATATAGGAAGCCCATCTGAAAACAAAAACAATAAAAAAAAAACCCATGATTTGCAATGTGACAGGATATTTTGTTTAGATAGTATTAAATAACTTTATGATTTATTTGTAGTTTAAAGAATTCCTGGGAACCTACAATAAACTTACAGAAACCTGCTTTTTGGACTGTGTTAAAGACTTCACAACAAGAGATGTAAAACCTGAAGAGGTAAGAAAAGTGTTGCATACTAAAAATTCTCCAAAATTTGTCAAGAACAATAGGATCCCTACAAGCACTCTCTTCATTTACTTACTGAGCTATTTGCTATGTGTCAGTGCTTGGAGGAACCTAGGTTTTGTTGATTTTTTTATTTCAAATAGTTGTACAAAGGTTTCTCAATTCAACAAGGCAGATTATGTGTACAATGCATTTTGATCAGTGTCACCCCTTCCATCACTCCTCCATCTTTCCTAGTCCATCCATATCCTCAAATTACACGGTTCCATTTTCATATAGGTACCTTGAATATAATGATTGTATTTGCTGACTTGCCTTCTCTCTATTCTTCTGCTCCCTAGTCCCCCAAAAACAAAACAATAAAACCAAAAAAACAACCATGTTTCAGCTTCCTGATCATTTTGGAAGGTTGGTTAGTTTAAAGGAGTTACACTATTGGGATCCTCCCCTGAGTTTACCATTCGTTAGTCAGTTTGTGTGTATAGATTCATATGACCTTGTATATGGTTTTGTGTATGTTTATATTTTAGATCTAACTTGTACATATGAGAAAAAACTTGGCAATGTTTGCCTGAGTTACTTTAACATTTTTTTCCTAGGTCCATCCATTTCCCTGCAAATGACATGGTATTGTTCTGATGACTAGTTTCAGTGTGTGTGTGTGTGTGTGTTTGTGTGTGTGTGTGTGTGTGTGTCATTTTCTTCATTTATTCATCCATTTTAGGGCATCTGGGCTGCCTCCATAGCTTAACTAGCTATCATGAATAGTGCAGCAGTGAACATGGATGTGAAAATGTCATAGTTTACTATATCCCGACTTGTAATATTTTGGGTAGATGCCCAATAGTGGTATTGTTAGATTATAGGATATGTCTGTATTTGTTTTCTTAAGAATTTCCAAATTCATACTATTCATACTATTGTTTTTAGTGATGCCAAAATTTGATGTGATAATGATAATATATAAAGGTAGATTTATAGGTTGGGCAGCTGAGTTACTGTAGTCAGGCTTAAAGAACCTGTGTGTGTGTACCAGTTCTGGGGCTTGAACTCAACACGTGGGCTTGTCCCTGAGGTTTTGTGCTCAAGGCTAGTGCTCTACCACTTGAGTACAGCTCCAATTCTTGCTTTTTGATGGTTAATTGGAGACAAAAGTCTCATAGATTTTACTGCCCAGATTGGCTTCGAACTCTCAACCTCTTGAGTAGCTAGGGTTACAGGCATGAGTCACCAGCACCTAGCTATCTAAAGAAACTGGATTTGGCCTTTTATCTGATCCTGAGAACTTAGATTAATTTCAGAAAAAAGCAAAAATTGTTTGTGGTAGCTTTTATTTCATAGGTAGACTCTGAAACCCAGTCCTATTTTAAATGTTAACTTTTAATGTCTTCATCATATTATCTGCATATTTGCTCAAAGTGACAAACTTCTCCAGTGGAAGATGTTGGTAACATTTATGCCAAGAATTTAGTATCTAAACATCATCAGTACTTACTTGTTAAATAATTGACAAACATAGGACAAAAGCTAAAGAGAGAAAGCGGGAACAGCTGATACTAAGTAAAAGAAATGTATATCACCCAATTTGTAAGAAAAAAAAATAGTTTTATTGTTAAAGGTCATAGAGTTCATAAGCAGTGTAGATTAAGATAATGGTAACTATCGTTGTGAATATTAAAAGGTGTTTGTGACTTAGGCTAAGTATAACTATGCTACAGTATTGTGAAATTTATTTAGTCATGTAATCTCAATAAGAAATATTTGAGAAAAAAAGAAAAATGAAGCCAGGTGTGGTAGTCATACCTGTAATCTCAGCTCTGGAGGCTGATACAAGATGATCCTAAGTTCCAGGCAAACCTGGCCTAAGTGGCAAGGTCAAGGCCATATTAAGACCTCATCTCAATAAATATGTAAATAAAAAGTAAGCAATATTTTTAGAATCAAGAACGTTGATAATGAGGTTACTCATTAAAAAGAAACAAACGTGTAGGGTGTAGTAGTATATGCCTATAATACCAGGTACTTGGAAGTTGGAGGTAGAAGGATTAGGAAGTTTTGGGTCCAGCCCAGGCTAAGTTAGGTAGACTCTGTTTCAAAAACAAAAGGGCAGGCTGGGAAGGTGGCTCAGTGGTAGAGCGCTTGCCTTGCATGCCTGAGGCCCTGGGTTCGATTCCTCAGCACTACATAAGCAAAAAAGAAAAAACCCGGAAGTGGCGCTGTGACTCAAGTGGTAGAGCGCTAGCCTTGAGCTGAAGAGCTGAGGGACAGCTCCCAGGCCCAGAGTTCAGGCCCCACGACCGGACCCAAAAAAAAAAGGGGGGGGGCTTATATATGACTACTATGATAGAGCATAGGTTTTTGACATAAAGACATAAAATTACTAGATGAACTTTCCCCCCCCCCTTTGGTGGGAAGTAATACAGGGGCTTTGAATTTAGGGCCTTATGCTTGTAAGCAAGTGCTCTACACTTGAGTCAAGCCTAAAGCCCTTTTTGCTTTAGTTATTTTTCTTATAGGATGTGGTGTTTTTACTTAAGGACCATTGTCAGGCCATAATCCTCCTTCCAGCACCTGCATAGCTAGGACTAAAGATGTGTACCACCACAACCAGCTCCTAGATGTTTATTTTAGCCATCTAAATAAGGGGGTAATAATGTGGGCTTTCGGTTAATACTGAAACATACCTGTAGAAAATATAGTCCAGAAGCTTCAAGAAAGCTTTAATTCTCGCTAATGGTTGAAAGTATCAACAATTAAGCTATACCTGGGGGAGAGGGGGTACGTGTGTGTGTGCATGTGTGTGTGTGTGTGTGTGTGTGTTCAAAAACATCTCACTGCTTTTCTTTTATAATACCTGCATTTAAAAAAAATGATTTTTTTTGTGTTGCTTCGGTCTTCCTTATAGATCACCTGTTCGGAACATTGCTTACAGAAATATTTAAAAATGACACAAAGAATATCTATGAGATTTCAGGAATATCATATTCAGCAGAATGAAGCCCTAGCAGCCAAAGCAGGACTCCTGGGCCAGCCGCGATAGGGAAGTCCCAGTGGATGGACTTCAATGAAACATTGCCAACAGTCGTTGCACTGGAAATGAGGATTCATCTCATAGAATCCTCTGAAAGCAGTAAGCACCCTGTAAAGCTGTCTGTGGTGGCTACTTGGCAAATTGAAACCACTGGAGAAACAAAAACATTGTTCCCCAGAAATAATCAAAAAAGAGAAGGTCATTGTTCAGTGAACATAGTAAGATGTAACATTTGTTGAAGTCTTAAGATTTACGGGTTGGTCACTTTGGTTAGAAAAATAAACCATTGTTTCTTCATTCGTGACTGTTAATTTTAAAGTAAAATATGTGTCCAATCATGTATAAGGTAGAAAAAATTTTTATTACTAAAAGTAAAATAAATGGAAGTATCACTGAGCAGTTAGTTGTTTATACTGTATAGAACACAGTATTCTGACTGGACTGTGGATACGTTGAAATGTTTTCAATCAGAATCATCCTCCAAGCATTCCTGTTCATTCATGTTTGCCTCAAATTGCTGGTAAATACATAAAACAGTTACTTGCTAATCATTTCAATGCACGATCTTTTTCTTGCTTCCCTTCTTTTATCAGTGGGCATTACATTCTTATCCTAGCTGTATCTTCAGGAAACATCCCATCTAAGACTAACTTGGGAATGTGTAAGAGTTGACTATTAGGCTCTAATGGAGTCTGTATTGTTTCACACTTTGTTCAAAAGCTGAGAGTCTAACATGAATGGTTCTGAGTCTGACCAACAATATATGGTTTATTTTCAACCACGAAGTACAATTAGCTGAATAAAAGTAAAACAGAGGTAAATTTATATCTTTTGGCTTATCAATCCTGAAACAAATGCAAGCATTTATAGGAAATTCTCATTGATGCATAAGTATATCAAGCAGTTTGATGAAGATACCTTTTATTCATTTGGCTTAAAAATGGTCATTTAGAACTTGGGCAATTCACAAACATACTTTGCTATTCCTATGTAATCTAACCCAACATGATTATTACTGTTATAATTCACAAAGTGTATTTCAAAAAAATGATTAACTGTGTACTCACCTGGCAGATAAGGGGAATTTTGTGCAATAGCATCTGAAATACTTTGGGAGGGAGTGTGCGTTTGAAAACATGGAGAAGCTTCTGTGGTTGCATACAGACTGAAAGGGCATTGCTGAGGTGTTGTACCCCCATTCCATTCTCTCCTGAAACAGTAGGACATTTTGAGTAAAATTTAGCATTTGTCAAAATGTGCATCCTACAAGAAAGCAAAAAAGGTTAAACATTTAAAGCATCTTACACTAAAGACTATTTAGACAATTCCTATGAAGAATAAAGAGTACACATATGAGAGAGAATGAGTTTCATAGTGGTAAAGCTGCAATATGAATCTAGTGTTGGGAGCTAGTGGCTCAGGCTGAGATCTGAGGATCATAGAAAAGTCTAAAGACTCTTATTTCCAATTAGCCATCAAAAAGCCAGAAGCAGAGGTATGGCTCAAGTGGTAGAATGATACCCTTAAACAAAAGGCCTAGTCAGAGACTTGTTCAAGACTTGTTCAAGCCCAAGTACTGGCATGTACACACACACTCACACAATCATTGTATCAGGCAAATTACAGTTACCATACTCACTGTTTAAGGAAATACACTTGCCTTGAAAATATTCATGTTGTTTATTTTAGTTTTTAATGTGGCCTGTTTTTCAACTAAAAACAAAAAGCTAAAAGGAATAGACTCCATTATCAAAGATTTCAATTTTTTTGAGACAGTCTCCCTGCATAACTCAGGCAAGTCTCAACCTTGAGATGTTCCTGCTTCAGTTTCCCAAATACTGAGATTATGGGCATGTGTCCCTATACCCAGCTTGAAACAAAATTTAGTATAACATGAATTATAATCTAGAGAAAGAAAATAAGACATCTGTGAACTCTGATTTCTGAATTAATTTTTTATAAATGAATTTTAGGATGATTAGTTGTGAAGTAACAAGGAATAGAAATTTGTGAAAAGTAAACTATAATCATTTCTCTTTAAATTATAACATGGGATGGCTTAGTTTTACTCTCAACTTTTAGGAAACAAAGGACCAGTGAAGTGATTTAGTTTTCAAGCTCATTAATGCTAGAAGTAGGAGTAGAACCTAACTTTTTTTTTTTTTTTTTGGTCGGTCGTGGGGCTTGAACTCTGGGCCTGGGCGCTGTCCCTTAGCTCTTCAGCTCAAGGCGAGCGCTCTACCAC